CTTTTTTTTTTTTAAAAAAAAAGGTAAAACAGAAAAATCACCTGCATTGGATTGGATTAAGTAACAAGTGTTCTCATTTATTAAGTATTTTCATCAGTTTTTCAGATGAGGCTCAGAGAGCGTAAGTGACCTGCCTAATAGGAACTCCATTTGACGAAGTCTGTCCTCTTAACCACTCCCTCCTAAAGTACAGCAAGCTCCTTCGCCTCTTTGAGCCTCAGTTTCTGTCCAGTTATCTCCTGACATGTAACAAACCACTCCAAAGCTTTGTGGCTTAAAAAGAACCACCATCATTTTATTATCCCTCTTGGTACTACTGGGGTTTGACTTGGATCAGCTAGGCAGTTCTTACTCAATTCTATTGTGGACAGTCACACCGGGTCTAGGGTTGAAGTCATCTCGAAGGCTTCCTCACTCGTATGTCTGGCAGTTGATACAGGTGTTCAGCCGAACATCTACGCATGGCTTCTCCATGTGGCCTGGGCTTCTTCACAACAAGGCAACTGGGTTCCAGGAGTGAGTGTCCCAAGAGACAGGAAGTGAAAGCTGCTAGTTTAAGATCTGGCAGGGGAAACTGGCATAGCATTGGCAACGCCATATTCTATTGATCAAACAGTCACAGTCTAGCTAAAGGGGAGAGGATGTGGACACCACCTCTCAATGGGGCTACGTTTTAAAGCCTACATATCTATAAAATGAGCATTACCATACAATGAATACCTGTTTTTGTTGGCCCATGCTTTTTCTTCCAGTAATAGAATACTTTCCTTTTAGGGATTCTCCCCTTTCCCTCCCCACTCTGCCAGGCTCTGTGGCCCTCTAGCCTAACTTAGAAGCTGCCTGACAGTGACGCTAACACTGAGGAACAGAGCAGCAGGTTCCTGGTGGCAGCTTTTGAAGCCCTGGGTCCCACTGTGTCTGAAGATCTACCCCGGGACTGTTCACTTGGGGAGCCTGCGACTTCCTTCTGCTTAAGCAGCTTTCTGAGTTCTGTAACTGGCAATCAAAAGTTCTCACTAAATCTACCTACGTGTGGTTGTGGAAAATGAATACATGTAAAATGTACCTGTTACTAGCAGGTATTCAGGAAGTGATTTATCATTATTATGAAGAATGGCCACAGGTGGAGGGATTCTGATTTGCCCCAAGTCCCACTGAGTTAGTGCTCAAACTGGGATTTAAATCCAGGACACCTGGCTCACGCTCTTTGTCCTGCTCTGCTTTCTGTACTTTTGAGGTCTTAAGTGTACAGGCTCAATGTGCAGTATGGAGTGCCCTTATGGGACAGGACATAATCTTATAGGTCAACCTGGCAAGCGGTAGCAAATACCTAGCATTCGAACACCCACATTTCAATGCCTTGCCCATAATACCAAACAAAACCCACTGCCATCAAAGACTGCAAATGACAGTGACCCAAAAGACATCATGAAACTATCTCATTTCCTAATAGCCTAAAAATAGCTCCAAATCCTCAATAAGCCTTCTAGGTAGCCACTATGAATTTGTTCTGAGTTGGCAGGTGAAGTGAGGCCTGAGGAAGACTGAAATCAAACCACAGCCCTGTTCTGAAGCACCTCCCATCCAGAGAAATTTGTTCATAGCCATGTGATGTGGTCAATGGGACTTTACAAATATGACAAACGCAGGAGTTTGAAATGCACCTGCACATTGGGGCTTGCCCTCTCTAGCTGCTTTGGGAACCCACCGTCATGTAAAGAAACCCGTTAGGCTACTTGATCCTCAGAACACGTTTCCCGTTGCCCTCACCACTGGACATGTGATTGAGACCATGTGGAACCAACTAGTCCCTTGCCGATCTACCAGCTCCCTTCAGCGAAGACAGCCCACAGAAGAACTGCCCAGATGAACCATCCCAAATTGTGATGCCAAAGAATCAAGAATAGATGTTGTTTAAAGCTACTAAACTTTGAGGTGGTTTGTTATAAAACAGTCAATAGTTGATACAAAGCCCACTTACTATCCTTGATCTTGGGCAACCCTTCATTTTACAAATGAGGAAACTGAAACCTAGAGAGGGAAGACTTGCGCAGGGCCACAGATCTTGCTGGCAGTACTAGGAGAGGAGGGAAAGCCCCAGGCCTCTTGGCTCACAATCCAGTTAACCTACTACATTCATTCCTTCAACGTGGCTGCTAGGATCACAAATGGGCGTCAAATCTCAACAACATCTAGACACAGTTGGTCCTTTGGGAAGCATCTGGTACCGTATTTCTTCACCATCTCCTTTTAGAGTTTCCAGAGATTAGACAGATAGATGAAAACTGCCGAGCAGCAGAAAGGGAGACACCTATCATCTCCCAGGCTCCGGGAGGTCGGGCACATATATGCAGGGCTTTATGGCAACAAATCTCCCACTGAAGGGTCCAACTATCCTCAGGGGCTGGAACAACTCAGGTACTTTTTAAGGATGGGGGGAATCCCATTCTTTGTCCAGCATATGCTCTGGTGCCAGAGTGCTTAGGCAGGGCCTTATGGGTAGAGGTAGGTAGGGCAGACGCTTCCTGCCCTTGGAGGTGTCTTCCCCTGCTCTCTTCATGGCCCTCCAAGTCTGGCATACTAAGGAAGCCCATGGTTCCCACTGGACTACCCGCCCCACAAAGCTCTGAGAAACGAGGAGCTCAGCAGGACTAGTGGGCAGGCCCTGCAATGGGCACACAGCAGGAGGCTCTAGTGTCACAGAGTCATAGTGCCAGCCCAGGGCAGCTCTCCCGCACTGTGCAGATGGGGATATCAAGATTCAGGAAGGGCAGTGACCTGCCTGGCCACACAAGCACGTCTGCTACAGACCTGGGCTTAGTCTTCTGGGCAGCGAGGAAAGACTGTGGGTTTAGGGACTGGAGGGCTCCTCCTACAGGATGGGGGCCTAGTCCCTTCTTCTGGACACTCTCTTCCTCTCCCCAGATTGAAGCCTTTTGTTTTGCCAAGGAGGGCTGGGGCCCAGCCCAGTTCCAAGGAGCCTCTTCTCACCCCAGGCCCTGGATCTCTAAGAGTCTATCTCCACCATAAGGGTATGTGGCCTACCTGTTCTCAGAACCTCTTACCATCATTCTCCTGCTGCTGCAAGCAGATATGTGGGGAATGATATCCCTACCAGGCAGCTAAATCTCAGAAGGGGCAGAAACAATGCTCTCTATCACACCAGGAGGCCATGGCCAAGCAAGGACTGGGGCCCTTGACATAGCTATGGGTCCAGATCTCTGGCTGCCTTGTTGCTGGCCCAGGCAGGCCTTCACACAGCTTGCGAATGCTAGGCCAAGAGTGAGACATGAGACAACAAAGACTTCCCTGGAGGTTTCTGTATCGAGGAAAGCAGAGCACTGTCCCAAACCCAGCCTCCAGCCTCCATCCTCCACCAAAACCTGGAGCCAAAACCATGGGGACACTTTAGTGGAAGCTATGGTATAGAATTGTTGGTTTGAAACCAGAAGTTTTCAATGAAGATTCTAGGAGGCCTAAAAATGTTGAGGACCATGTAAAGCTGGAGGGAAAGACTCCAAGCCCTTTCTGATGATGGGATTAAATGGCCTGTGTTGGGAAAAGGCTGCCCAGGGGAAGGAATACCAAAAACCAGTCCAGTGCCATCAAGCCGATTCAGACACACGGCGACCCCCAATGGGTTTCCGAGGCGGTAAATCTTTACAAAAGTAGATTGCCCTGTCTTCCTTCTGTGGAGTGCCTGGTGGGTTTGAACCACCAGCCTTCTGGTTAGCCAGTCAAATGCCTTAGGCACTGTGCCACCAGAGCTGCAGGGGAAGGAATAAGCAGTTCTTCAAGAGCAGAAGTCAGATCTGGGAGGCTTCTCAGAGGTGGTGACACTAGAGCAATAGCTCAATGATGAGCAGCTATTTCTCAGGGGTTGAAAGTACGAGAGTACATGACAGGCCTAGAATAAAACGTGTTTCTGGCTGCCTGCCCACCCACAATTCCACACCAATGAGACCAGCCTTGTGTGGCCACATCACCCAGTTCACTGGACAAGGTTGGGTACTTGTAACCTAAAAGCGACTCAAAAGAATCTGCTGGGATAACTGATTCTTTCTAGGAATATGAACATGAGGAAAACTAACCAATTCACAGTGGGGCCTAAATGGGAAAGATGGTGATGTTAGGAAGACACGATGAACCATGTACACAGTGAAGAAGAAGTTTGAGAGGATCTGGCCAGTTGTTAGAGACAACATGGCCCCTACTAGACTGTCTGCCCCACAAGCAATGTCTAGATAGGTTGCCCAAGATAGGCACAAACCTCCTACTGCTTGAGGTAACTCATTACCAAAACTGTCTATGCATGTAAAGGCAAAGATGGCTGCTGTGGGGCAGGAAAGACAGGTGGTGACAGGAGAGGCCAGAGCAAGGACCATGTGCTCCACATTCAGGCGCTGGCATTCTGTCCCGATGACGGTAGGCCAGTCAGTACATGGCACTATGCAAATCAAGGACATGTCGCAGAAATAACGCGTGCTGCAGCAACTGGTGGGAAATGGGGTAGGGGAGTAGCTGAAGATTGGGAGTCTGGTGCAGGGACAAAATCCCAGTGAAAAATCCCAGTATCCTAAAGCAGGACGGTGGCAGACAAAGGAGGAGGCAGCAGCAGATTCTAGAATCATTTTAGAGCTGGGAAAGCCCACAGCTGGTGAGAAGCTCAGGGAAGAGAGGCGGCCTCGATCCACTACTAGGTGACCAGGTGTGTCACCAATGCCTTCACAGGTGCTTGGGATTTCAGCCAGCAAGGTGCTCTCATGGTCACTGGCACATCTGACCTTTCCCAATAGCCCTATTGGCCATTTTTATCACTGAATTAGCTGAGGAAACTAAGCCCCAGAGGGTTCAGTATTGGGCATCCGAAATCAATCTGACCGGAAGAGAGGAGTGGAGGAGGTGAGGACAGAAGAGGGTACAGCAGAGTGACTTTCTGACTGGGCAGGAGACCAGGACCCCTTCGTGAGAAAACACAAACCATCCCATCTCAGAACAGGTTGGGATCCAATCTCTTTATTGTCAGGGTCCCCTCCCTGAGGCCCCATCTTCTCCAAACCAATAGAAAAATCCCAAGCCTGGGAGTGTGCTGGGGAGGGAAGGTGGAATGTGGGGAGATCTCTGTGCTCTGCCCTCTGGCCTGGGCAGTACAAACAAGGAGGGGGCATGGGTAAGGGGTAGGCTGACAGCTCCACCTGCAGAAGACGTGGCACTGGCTGGGGTGCGTGGTGGGGAGGAGGTGCCTGCTGCCAGCTCTCCTCTGGTACCCACTGGGGGGAGGCACCCAGGGGTAGGTGCCCGGCTTGAGGCCTAGGAATAGTGCACGCCCTTCTCCTGCCGGTGGCCATCGCTCCTGTCAGGCTGAGAAAGAGGGAGACAAAGAAGAAACTAAGGCTGAGAGGAAGAGACCTTCAGATGTGAGTACAGGGGCAATAAAGAAAGGGCAGAGTGGTGTTTGCAGATGGAGATACACGCCTGGGCTCGGGCCTCACAATGTTCTGACCATGTAACTTTGGGCAAGTTTCTCCCCCTCCCTGAATCTCCATTTCCTCACCAGAGGCCCTGTACCTCACCTTGTGAAATGGCTTGGCAAGGTAAAACTTAGCCTCCCTGGTAAAACAAACCACGCATCTCCAAAGGGCAAGACGGTATGTGCGGAATATCCTAGCTGAACTGCTCTGGGAAGCCCTCGCTTGGGAACCATCTTATCCCTGGGTGTTTCAGGTATCAAGACACCTGGGGGGGGGGGTTTGAAACCCTCCCCCGCTCAAATCTGGCTGTCTTTGAATAGGGCCTCAGGGGAATGGGCTAGATCATTTGGCCTGGCTTTTCTCCAGCGAAGGGCAGGATAAGGTGGTGAACAGCGTTGAGGCCACACACCATTGGCTTAAATCTAGGCTCTACCGATTGCTACTTTGGAATCTTGTCAGGTATGTTTAACTCCCCGCACCCTTCAATATCCCTCCTCCCGCATCTTGTTATACTGGCACAAACATAACCTTGCAGGGTTGCTGAAGATTAAATTAGGTAAGGCAGGTGCACTTCCTGGTACACAGGGCACTTCCTCCCCACGACAGGATTCAGTCCAAGCCCCTCAGTCGGGCATGGAAGACCATTCCTAACTGGCCCTCTGGTGAGGAGCAGCCTCCTTTCCTTGTTCTGCAGAGCTAGGCTGCAGCCACAGGACACTCTTGGCCATTTCCAACATCCCAAGAATGGCCACACCTCGGCACCTCTGCTTGTGTGGTCCCCCTCGTGTGGAACGCTTCTCCCTCAATTATTAGCAGGCTCAGCCAGACAGCACTTCTTCTACCACAACCCTGTCTAATGTGCTGGCTAAGTCAGGCTTTCCCCTTGGCCCTCCCAGGCCCTGGATTTCCTTCTATTGTTGTCCTTCATGCACTGGGTGGTAATGGTTTGTGTTCGCCTCCACTAGACTCTGAGTCTCCTCAAGGCTGGAGAGACAATGTGGCTCAGAGTATGCTGAGGGGACCATTACTGGGTAGGCCTGGCTAACACATCCATGGCTCCTACACCCTCATGCCAGCAAGCCCCAACCCACAAAGGGGAGTGGCAGGATGGCTGGGAATGGAGAGGCCTTCAGTCCTGGGCATAGCACTGTTTCATGATACTCCCTACCATCCCAGGAACAGGCATGGCCCCTGAGGACCTGGACTTCACTGCTTTCCCATGCCCTGCCCACCAGGACCTCCGTACCTGCTTACTGCAAGGCCCCATCCTCCACATCTGTGTCCTGGCTGTGCTCCTGGTAGGGAGGAGGCAACAAGAGACCACACATCACTCACTGTAAGCCCTAAGTTCTGCTCTGGGCCTTCTGTCCAGAAGGACCCTAGGGCCCAGAACATGGTGGGGGATGAGGCAGAGCCAAAGGATCCAACTATAGGATCAGTCTGAACAAGGCTGCCTTGGGATCCTTAAGGCCTCACAGGAAAGAAAGGACCAGTCAAGGGAGTTGGGGCAGATTTTTGTGCATGAAAACCCTGGGCAGGAGCAGGCTGAAAGTCTTGTAGAGAGAGAGCTCCCCATCTTTGGGGCATCCAATGCCTTCATTAGGGCCGTTAGGGACTACGATGCCTGCAGGGTAAGATAGAGTACCAGCTAGGTACAAAGAAGGGAAGAGGAGCTGGGTGTCAGAAAGACCCCTTGACTGTCATGGCCATATACACCCTTCCATCTTCATGAAAAGGAGAAAGCCCCAACCCAGTGAAGAAGTCTGGCTCAACTCCTGCCTCAGCACTTACTAGCTATGAGGCCCTAAGCAAGCTATCTAATTCCTGTGTGCCTCAGTTTCCTCACACAGTAAAATGTTGGAACAGTAATACCTTGCATAGTACAGTGCAGCTGTGAAGGTTAAATGAAGTATGAAAGTGGGGGCGGGCAGGGTCTGGTGTTCCGTAAACAAATAGCAGTACACAACAGATACCTTACAGACTCTGGCCTACCTTCCATTCAATACAAGCTTCTTGTCAGATGGTGTCCTGGCCTCAGCCTGAATAATTCCAGGAACTGACAAGGAGCTCCCCCTTATGAGACAGTGTTTATGCTCAGGCAGCAATGACTCAGAGTCCTTCTGTGACTTGCTATCTACCTCCCTGTGGCTTTCCCAGGCAACCTTAGTCCTGGCTCTCCGGAGCTGTGCAGACCACGTCTGCTGCCTCGAGGCCCTGCCTCTTCTCTTCTGTAATCCATGCTAAGAATGGAGTCCAGAAGGGGTCCTGGGCTTAGGCAACAACTCTTGCTTATTCCTCCCCACTCCCCCTGAGGTTAGAACCCCTGGGAAAGAAAGAGGGAGTTCACAGCTCAGAGGCTCAGAGGACCCCTCTCCCGCTGTCCTCCTGCGACTAGGAGTGCGAAGCCCAGTGCCAGCTCTGCCCACCACACCCGTGATCACGCTCTCACCAGCTCTTCCTCGCTGTGCGTCAGAAGCCCCTCCTCATCGCCGTCGTCTCGAGCCTGTGCCGTTCCCTGGGGCGTGCCTGCCTCGGAAGTTGTGTCCTCTTGGGGGGCCGGGGGCCGGCTGTTACCACCACTGCCGCTGCCACCGCCGCTGCCGCTGCCACTGCCACTGCCGCCGCCGCTGCCACCGTCACCCTTCTTCTTGCCATCTTGAGGAGAAGGAATGGGAGGAAATCAAACTCTGCCTAGGGCAATTGCTCAGGGCAGCAACCTTAGAGGAAACTAGGTCTCAGCACGGAGCATCCAGCTAGGCCCAGGCGTGCAGACTTCCAGGCATTAGAAGCCACCCAGGCCCTCCTTCCCCCATACACTGTCCTCCCCACCCCGTGGTCCTGGTCACTAAGCTGGGTGAGGACCCTCAGGGGCTGACCTGGGTTGGCCTTTTGCTCCTCAGCAATCTGCTCCAAGCGGCCCAGCAGGGCGTCAATGTTGGACTTGATCTGCGTCAGCTCTGTCTTGATGGTCTGCAGCTCACTGCTCTTCACTGGGTGGAGGAGGAACAGAGTGGTCACTGAGGGCTGAGAGTTTGGCACTAACACAAGACCCCACACCTCTTTTCTCAACTAGGAAGGCTGGCAGGACAGGGGCATGAACTAGCCTCATCCACTGTCTTTCACCAGCCAGGGAAAAGCTGGAGCTGCCTGGGGCTCCCCCTGTGGCGCTCTGTAGGCCCTGCTTACAGTGACCGGCCCACACCACCAAACCTGGACATCTTTTCCCCAAGCCTCACAACTCTAAAGACGACCAGGGATGGACAAGAACTTAAGTATGTGGTATGTACATCTGTGTGTACCTGAGCAAGTACATATATGTGTCTTTGCTTGTGTCACAGGGTGCTGTCTTTCAAAAGTATGCAAATGTAGACCTTTTGCAATCAGATTTCCTGGGTGCCTCTGTGGTATACCCACTGACCATCAGATGTGTAAACCTGTGGAATTGTGGGCCTATCCTTGTCCTTACTAGAGCAAAGATACCACCATCTCACAACACTGACTTTCCATGCCCAACCCAAGCCCCACCTCTTCAAATGCCAGCCTTTTCCTCTTAGAAATGCATGAGTACTTACTTGGTTGTTAGAGCTGCAGAACTGTGGGAGATTTCTTTTTATCTATTTTCCAATGTAAAAAAATGTGATTCTATTATTTTGCTAAAGACAAAAATAAAAATTATCTAGGAAGAAGATAAGATGGTCACTCACACTTGATCTTGGCCGAGCCGGTGGTGATGGCTGTAGAGCGGGCAAAGAGCTTGACAGGTATGGTGGTTTTGACACGCCGGACCAAAGGGACTGTGACCCGGGGTCGCTTCACGGGGACCGCCCTGGGCACTGGCACCGGCGACAGGCGGCCCCGATAGTCGAAGAGCCTGTAAGGGCAAATGGGCCAGAGGCTGCAGCATAGCCCATGACCACCAGGGGGCACTGCAGCTCTAGCCCAACCTGTGCACAGCTGGTACAGGGCTGGGTGTCCAGCTCTACACACCTCTGCCTGCTCCCAATAAGCCCTGGGGTGAAGAGGAAGGGCTTCTGGATTCTTCACTACATATAGCCCTGCTACCAACCAGGACAGGTAAGGGCTGGTGAGGTGGCAGGCGGTATGGCTATGGCCCCATTCAACAAAGGAGCAAACTTAGCAGATGAGCCCCCAAGGAACCTTCCTAGATCTGACATACAGGGATGCTCTATTATACGGCCCTGCTTCTGCTCAAAAAGCTGCCACCCCAACCTCAGGGCAAAGTCTACACATATCCCCAAAGCAGCAAAATCCCCAGCTGGGAAAAGAAAGGTATGGGAGTGGAGCCTGTCCCTGAGCCTGTCTGAGCCTCAGTTTTCCCATCTGCCTAATGAGGATGGCTTCTCCAGATTCTGCTGCTTCCTCCGCCAGAGGCTGCAGCTGTGTGGCTGGAGTGTAAGAGAATCTGGTTAAAAACACACACTTTAGAAGGTGACTCAGGTAAAAGGTGAGGGTCTCAGAGACAGCCAGGGGTATTGAGACCCTCAACTCTAGGACCCATGACCTCAGAGACAGGAAGCTGGAGTCTATCCCTTTCCTTATTCCGGGCCCTCTTGATTACCCTACCCTCCTGACTCCACTTCAGAGAAGAAGGCCAGGAGGCCCAGGGGCATCGAGCTTGTGCAGGCAAACCAGGGCCCAGGGTGCCTAGACTGGATGTGTCCCCAGTGCCGTCACCCAGGCCTCTCCAGGTGGGCTTCTCTTCCTGCTGACCAGGTAGAAGTATGGTAGGCTGAGAAAGTCTCCCATCCCATCTGCTGCTACCACCTTCTGGAGCCTCAGGGGTACATCAGGGGTACCTTGGGGCCACTTTCCTGGTAACAGTCAGGAGGCCTGCATCACTAGGCAATTTGAAACCCCATTCCTTGACGCTTCTTTATCCAGGAAACCCCTGGCCTGGGGTCATGATCACTGGAGATGGAGAGCCTCTGGGAACAGACCCAGCCCTGAACCTTGCATTTCTGCCCCCAGGGGAGGGAGCGGCTCTGGCCTTGGTCAGAATCACTGAACCACATAATCCCAGAGCTGAATGAGTCCTGAGAGATTACCTGGTGCAAGCCCATTTCACAGACTGGAAGGGGGATTTGCCCAAAATCACGCACTCCATTCAGTGGCAGAGCTGGGATTAGCACCTAGGTCTTCTGACTCTAAGCCTAGGGCACTTACTTTCCACTACACTGCACTGTCTCCTGAAACCATGCACAGGTGAGAAAATCAAGGCTCAGAGAGCTTCTGTTCATCCTGGGCAGTCTGGTGTGGGTTGAGCCGGAGACAGGGAAGCCGGAAGGAAAGGTTTCGGCCAGTCCCATTATGATCTCCACTCAACAGTGTGGCTGGTGCTGTCCATTCAAGGGGAAGCCTACCTCCTCAAGACTAGGGATTGGACAGGCTTGAGAGTGAAGAATGTGCCACAGTCTACCAGGGACTAATTCAGACTCTTAATGGCTACTGGCCTAAATGGCTGGTGGCCTCTTGGCTGTAAATGTTAAAGTCAAGAGGTTCAGATTAAGCTCTTGGGTTCTTTTCTGCTAGTCAGGACACCTCAGAGAGGGAAGGAGACTAAAAAGTAGGAGTGCAAGGGCTCATACTCTCATATTCCAACTGGCCACGTTTACATGTCCCTAGGCTGTGCACTCCCTACAAGTCTCACCTAAGGACTAGGAAGAGGAAGAGCAGTCAGTGAGTGGAGACACTGGTTTGGAGTGGTGTGGTGTGGTGGTGGGAGCTCTGGCCTGGGCACCAACAGAACTGGATCCTAGTCCCAGATTTACCACTGATTTGCTGAGCAATCTTGGGCAAATGCCTGTCCGTATCTCTGGGCTTTGGTTCCCATTTGGAGGACTGAGTGAGCTGCACCAGCAATCTCTCAGGACCCCTCCAGCTTGGCTGTTTCATGCCTGGGCACGCCCCTCCCCTGCTCACCTGTCGTAGAAGTCGTCCCGGTAGTAATCATAGTCAAAGCTGAAGCCACTGGGGAGACAAAGGGGAGAGGGCCAGGGCTTAGGAATGGCCACTCAGCCCGCTCTCCACAGGCCCTCATCTATGAACTCCTCCCAACAAGTTCCAGGCTCAGCACACTGTTGCTACCAGTATGCACTTGCTCTGGGAAACAGGGACCAATCCCACCCAAACAGACAGAGAGCCCCACCTGTATATGGCAGATGCTGCTCTCTTTAGCCCCTTGGGTCTGTTGGGCTTGGGCTCTCCAGCCATGTTGATGTCTGTATGGAGGAAGAGGCAGAGTAAGAATGCTGGCATGACAGCAGCATCCCCACATACATATCAACCTCAGGTACATGTGAAACAATTTACATGCTCACATGTGCACACAGGCTTCACTCACACCATATAGACAAATACATACTGATATAACCACCAAAGGTCTACATACACTTAATTTCCAAACATTACTCATACCCAGACATCACACAGATATCCTCATTTACATATTCATATACAAACACATACATGCATGCTCACAATCTCTCTCTCTCTCTCTCTCTCTCTCACACAAACACACACACACCATGTACATCACATGTATATACATCCTCATGTAGTACCATACATTTGGCACACAGGAATACATATACAGACCACCTTAACATACACATTCACATATCCATGTAACGAAGTCACACATATAGGCAACATATTACTCTCGAGCACCCTCACACTTAACTCTTAACATAACACACCTAACTCCCTGTATGCAAATGAATGACTATATAATCACAGGTCTACCAAACAAATATGCCCAGAATGGTGCTGAGTACATGATACAAACTCAATAAATATTTGGGAAGTGAATATATGCACAATTGCTTACAAACTCAAATTCTGATATATACACTATACATGTACATATGCAGGTATATGTCTACATGTTTTCCACATCCTCAGTCACATTCTCATATTCAAGAATATATATTAGATATCCCTTCTCAAACATACATATTGTACACAAAAAAGTATGTGCACATACATACACTGTACACACTCAAGGGCAGACTTCAAGAATGGTCACAGACATCTAACACCAGGGCCAAGGGTACCTGCTTTGTCCTTGTGCTCCCAGCCTTTCCTACTGGCTCTCAAAGGGTTCTAACCTAAGTCATCTGTAGCCCACTGTTGCTGTGCTAGTCCACTCTGTTGTCTTTCTCTGCATTTTAACTGGAACTATAAGGCTTGTCATTAAGAGGCACTGGGAGAAAAGGGCAGGACAAAAGTGTTTTCCAAGGGCTTCTGAAATTCACCTCGACAAGCATCAATCTTGTAATTATCTAATTTATACCTTACAGTTATTTAGTTATTTAAGCTATAAAATCTCAGAGCATGGAAGTTGCAGGGGGAAATGGGAAAGAGAACTTGGGAGGCAGCTGGAGAGTAAAGGAAGACAGTGACTCCAAGAGCAGGGTGTGGAAGGAGACTTACCCAGGGTCTGCCCGGCGAGCACTCGCCCATTCTCTCCCAACACAGCTGCCCGGGCATGGCGCTCATTGGCATACTGGACAAAGGCATAGCCCTTGTGCACGGAGCAGCCGGCCACACGGCCATACTTGGAAAAGATGGTCTCCACATCTGACTTCTTCACCACTGCTGTGTTGAGGTTTCCAATGAAGACCCGAGAATTGATGGATTTGGGGTCATTCTTGTTGGTTACATTGCTTGTCTGAATCTTCAAGGACATGGTGGTCACCTGTACAGTGAGAATCATTGTGAGGCTGGATCCTCAGGTTGGGCTCAAGGGCTGCCCATGATTTGTATCTTAGCTAAACTGAACCACTTCTTTCCTTCTTACACAAGACCCTACACCCAGGATCCCTGCTTTTGCTCAGCTGTTGTCTTGTCATATTACCAAGAGTTGCCATTTACTTACTGGCTGCTGACCTCAGGCTACATACTTTACATACATTCCCTCATTTGGTACTCACATGGTAAAAGAGCCACCACATCTCCCAAGTGAGGACAGGACACACGTGAAACTAGTGAATGGTAGGACTGGGATTTTAAACCATGGTCTGCTAGACTCCACTTTTTTAAGCCCACCCCTTCCTTAATGCTTATCTCAACTGTCACCCCCACTCAGGATCTGAAGATTTTGAAGGTTTTCCACAGCTTCATTTATATCTGCCCCATCAATCCAGAACCACAGCCAAGAAAGAGTTCATATGGCAACTGCAATTAGTGTTTGCTCCAGAACAAGAACAGAATATGAAAACTGCTCATAGGCATTACTATGATTGAATCTATTAATACCAGACATTTTGAAAAAGGTGCAGCCTCACTGAGCGCTCAACGTGAGCCAGGAATGCCACACAATATCGCATAACCTCAACTCACTGTTGGGAGGCCGATGCCGACTCACCGTGACCTACAGGACACAGCAGACCTGCCCACAGGGTTTCAGAGACAAATCTTTACAGAAATCTTTATGGAAGCAGACTGCCACATCTTTCTCCCACAAAGGGACTCATGGATTCAAACAGTCAACCTTTTCGTTGGCAGCCGAGCGCTTTAACCACTGTGTCACCAGGACTCCTTGAATAACCTCAAGACCCCATGAAATATTATTATTATTCACATCTTACTGAAAAATGAGACCCTGACTTATTAACACTTGTAACAGGCATTCACACCCAAGTCAGTCTGTCTTTAAAGATCTTTCAACTTTTATCACTTTGCTTCTCAGAGCCATGCAAGCACTATAGTAAGTAAGCATTATTTACCTAAGAAATGTTGTTAATAAATTAACCTTTTAGAGTTACCCGTTTTTATATTTTATGAACTTCACTGTTTGATTTAGAGATCATAGTTACCTGCTCTTTGTTCTCTATGTCCTGACAATGCCTTTCACCTCAAATCTCCCCCCACCACCTTCTCTGGGCAGGGTACAACTGGGCACAGGCTGCAAGGGAAAAGGCACACTCCGAGTGAGAAAGGCCTGAAGGTAAGCCTTGGCGTTTATATACGCGACTCCGTCTCCTGCTCACTGGCATGAGTTAGTGCAACTTCCTTTGGGAACACTCCCACCTCAATGAGCCAACCCTAGAGTCATTTCAAGGTTGGTGGTGGTTCAGTGGTAGAACTCTTGCTTCAGGCAGGAGACTCGGGTCTGATTCGCAGCCAATGCACCTCATGCACAGTGACCACTTACCACTAGTGGCTGCGTGTTGCTGCGATGCTAAATGCATTTCAACAGAGCTTCCAGACTAAGAAAGGGCTGGTGATCTACGTGTGAAAACCAGCCAGTGACAATGCTATGTAGCATAACTTTGCAACCCACAACCAATCATGGGGATGGCACGGAACCGGGCTCCCTTTCATTCCAATGTGCATGGGGTTGCCGTGAGTTGGGGGCTGACTTGATGGCACCCAATCAAGCCATTTCAGGTGCTACAAGCAGCATGCACAAACTCATCAGCCTAGGCTGACTTCTCCACATTCCAGGCTATTAACATACCACTTCTGGGCAGAGGGGGCTTCTTTCAATGAACTAGAGAAGAGTGAATTTAAGAAAAACGAAACAAAACAAACAAAAACCCATTACCACAGAGTTGATCCTGTCTCACAGCGACCCTATAGGACAGAGTAGAACTGTGCCCCTCCCCTCCCCGGGTTTGTAAGGCTGCAAGTCTTTATGGAAACAGACTGCCACATCTTTTTCCTAGTGGGTTCTAATTGCCAATCTTTTGGTCAGCAGCCAAGCACTTTAAACACTGTGTCATCAGGGTCCTATTTCTCTGTATTTTAATTTTGTGAAAAGGTACACTGTGAAGCTTCTCACTCTTATTCCCAAGCCTTCCTCTTGGCCTCGGAGTTAGTACCTTCTGACCAGCAGGCGGCAGTGTTTGCAAGGAAACCACACATTAGACCCGACACTGATTTGGGGGAACAGTTGCTCCTAGAGCTGGGCTTTGCAGTAAACTCAATGGATACACTGGGGTCAGTCGCTAATGGTGCCACCACTGCTACTGAGGGCAAAATGAGCTCCTTTGGCTGAGTGTATCCTGTGTTTTAGGAAACAGTGCCTGCCATTAAGAAAGAAGAAACCGTTGCCAGCTCTGGAACAGGCTTGGAAGGAACAGATGCTTTTCTGTTACTCAGCTTACCTTGCAGTCAATCACCCACATTCACCAAGCAGTAAGAGCTGCAAAGATGCGAACCACAGAAGCACCAGAGTCTGGTGTGCAGTAGGACATGCTCCTGGCACGTGGCGTCCCTTGGGCCCCTCATTCCTCACAGTTCTGACAGCCCTCCTCCTACCTGAATGGTGAGCCATTCAAGGGCTAATCCCTGGTCTATTATAGGATATACAAGAATTTTATTGGGTCTCTGGGTGGGCATCAGGTAACCTCCTGAGTGGTTAAGCTCGAGGCCATGAAGTTTGGGGCAAGGGAGATGCCACCTGCTTTGGTTGTAGGGAACCAACCAGGCCTGGGGTATGGACTGAGATAGAAGAGAGGGAGAAAGGTGATTGTTCAGAGATAATGGTGATGACTGCTGGCTCTGACACTGACTTGGCAGGGATATGAAAGTTGCTAGGTTCCCTCAGACCTCTGTCAGGAGCCTCCAAGTGTACTAGGCAGGAAGCATTTGCTGAGTACCTGTAGTCTGCACTTGGGGCTATGGAGGGAGCAGCACTTATTCTTTGGCTAGGTGAGCAAAATCCTTCTGGTTTGGCCCTACTCAGCCCTGTCTTTCATCACCTGGAGTTTGGGACAATGCACACAAAAGGACTTTGCGAACTGTGCTGTCCAGAAATTCTGTAAGATCCAGAAATTCCTCTAACCATAAGTACTCCTCTGCTCAACTAACACTGCCATTACAATCTTGGATCCATTCTAGACGAGGGTCAAGGTCATGCCAGAGCACAACTGGATGATGACAAGGAGAGGCAGCCAGAAGCCATGCCATATGAGGGTCAGTTTTCTGATCTTAGAGGAGACTTGGGAAGTGGTGGTGCTGAGGTGAGCATGCTGGGTGAGTGCCTGGAGCATGTTCCAAGTACCCAATCCCTGAATTCCCAACCTAAACAGTCTCAATCTTCTTTCAAGACCAGCACACTCCTCTGGAATCAGGCTATGCTGCTGGGGTTTATTCCCTAAGCCCAAGGGGGTAGTTATTCCTGGAACGAGCTTAGATAAAGAGCTTGAGTATATACATGCAAGTCTACAAGGCTCCTTGAGGTGAGGGGTGAAACTGGGGGTGGGAAATGACACAAACTAGCTCTCCCTGAACTACCAGTTTCAGGTACAGAATGCCAAAGACTCCAAGAATTCTCAGTTTTAACATGGTCTTCACGTTATGAACATAGTCACCAATTTGTTGGCTTCACTTACAACTGTGAAATATTTAGACACACAGTAGGTGGGTCTCCATTTGTACCCTTGCCCTGACCTACAAATGTTAGCGGCAGCCCTAACAAAGCCTGGGGCACAGCAAGTGCTCATAAATGTTAGTTAGGGAGGAAGTGGTAAGAATAATGTCTCAAAAGGTAGTGGGAAGGGCTAGCTATGGCCCTACCTTAAGTTGTGGAGCCTACTACTAGGAGCTGGGGTCCCAGGCACTTATTCTAGTCTCTGGACTAAACACTCACCACCACAGACGAACCATCCCCAACTCAGTGCCCTCCCCCCACAATTCTTCCTTGGCTTTTCAAGGTCTCCCCTTAGCTTACAGCAGGAGTCCTAAAAAAAATCCATTTCCCAGGAGCTCTGGTAACATAGTGCCTAAGGCACTTGACTGCTAACCAGAAGGCTGGCAGTTCAAACCCACCAGGCGCTCCTCGAAAGGAAGGTTGGGCAATCTACTTCTGTAGTGATACCGCCTCAGAAACCCAAGGAGGGGTTGCTATGCGCTATGAGTCATATCCACTCAAGGGCAGTGAGTTTTTTGTTTGTTTGTTTGTGTAGTAGAGCAGAAGCTGTGTGACTTGATAAGGTATTTTTCCCTCCCTGGACAATGCTCAAGGAGCTCTGGTGGTGTAGTACCTAAGGCACTTGACTGCTAACCAGAAGGCTGGCGGTTCAAACCCACCAGCCACTCCTTGGAAGGAAGGTTGGGCCATCTACTTCATAGAGATACCACCTCAGAAACCCAAGGAGGGGTCGCTATGAGTTGAATCAGCAGTGCTCTGCCCCACAGATTATCTGTGTAATTGAGAGTAAGGTGTCTACAACCCCCCAGATGCCCTATACTTAGGGATGAGTTAAGGAGAGGTTTGTTCTTGGGGAGGAGGAGGGAGAAGAATCAGACTTGTTCCCAGGACTCTTACAATGTCAGACTATTAAGGATCTTAGTGAGCACGGAGTTCATTTACATGTCCTTATTCTGAGAAACAGAGGGGAAGGGCCTTGGTTAGGATGCCACAGCCAGTGAGCAACAGACCTAAGATCACCCGTGGGTCCTCTGATACTAATCTAGGGTTCTTATGCCAGGCTGTTTCTTTGAAGGAATGATGGTAAGATTTCATTCTCACACACTTGGGACATGTTATCAGGAAAGATTAGTCCCTGGAGATTGACATCATGCTTGGTAAAGCAGAGGGTCAGCAAAAAAGAGGAAGAAGACCCGCAATGAGATGGCTCAAGAATGGGCGCAAACACAGGAAGAATTGTGAGGATGGTGTGTGACCGGGCAGTGTTTCATCCTGTTGTACACAGGGTTGCTATGAGTTGGAACTGACTTGGTGACACC